TGTTCAGTTTTCTTCTGTTTTCCCACAAGGTAAGCACAGGTTTGGCCCTATAGGTCAGCATGAGTTACAAACCTACACATTCAGATTTGGCTGCAGGTGTAAATTGGGGGGCGTGGTTGTTTGGACAAGACAGAGTCCATTTGTACCAACTCTGCACGGAGAGATCAGGAAAATGTCTTCTATTTAAAGAATCAAATCATAAGAGTCCTGTTAAAAGTTGGACAGTTGTTAAGTTTAATGTAATGGCCATTTATTCAGCAATCATCAAGTGTATAATATTGCCTTGTATTTACTTTTGGACAATTTCTTAGGGTTAAATTTAAAAACTATAATTTGTTTACTGCAACTACATTTTATGTACTATAGGTGAACCTTGTTTTGAGAAATGATTTTCACTCAGTAACAAACGGAAATCCACGCAGAGCTTGCTTTGCAAATGCTAAATGAACAAACAGAGAAGAGCACTAGTAGTTTTCCACGGTCTGCACACCGTTCTAGAAACAAGCGAATCGGAAATGTTCGCGTTGGCGCCGGCAGAATTAGTCGTCTCCCTTCGGTCAGGAGAAGGATTAAGCGGCAACATTTTAGTTCCCAAAGCCCTGTAACGGCGACGGCCGGCCGGACGGAAGAACATGGCCTTCCCGGGCTCGCCCCCCGCAGCCCCGAGGGCCCTCCCGCCCCCCGCCATCAAGGCCATGTGCATTCTGCACCCGAGGGTCGGGGTGCTGCGGCGGGCGGCGCTGTCCACCCCTCCAGCCCCGCTCCACAGCTGCGGACTCGGTCCTCGTGCGCCCGCCCCGCTGCACCGCGCCCCGCCCTGCCGCGAGCGCGCGCGCGCAGCGCGTCCCCGGCCCGCTCCCCCGGCCGCGCCCGCGCGCCCCCGGCCCACAGCGCAGCCTCCACAGCGAGGGGGGCGCGGAAGCCGCGGGGAGCCCGGCAGATCGGCGCGGCGGGCGGCGGAGCAGTGAGTGCGGGCGGGCTCGGGGCGCGTGTGCGCTGCGCTGGCTTTCGGGGGCGCGGCGGAGCCCCTTCCGCGGGCCGGGCCCCTAAGCTAGAGCGGCGCCGTCCACTGCGGGGAGAGCGCGGGCCGCTGGTGGCAGCTGGATGGCTTCTGGTGGCCGCGGGAGCTCGTGTGGCCAGGGCACGGGAGAGCAGGCTTAGTCTCACGTTTTATTGAGTCCAATACATCCAAAATACTATCATTTCAACCTGGAGTCCATGTAGAAACGGAGAGAGTTCACATGGTCCTCTCGTCCCGAGTGTTCGAACTCAGGCGTGCACTGGACCCTGAGAGCGCATCTCAGCGCCCAGGGCCGCAGGCGAGGGCTCCGCGGCTCCGCGTGGCTCCGGCGACGGTCCTGGACCGAAACTCTACGTTCGTACCGTCTCCCGCTGCACTCGGGAGGGCGCCCCTCGGAAGCGGAATTGCTAGGAGTTCACAGGAAAGGCTCTTTAGAGGAAAAGGGTTGGCGCGCCGGAGTGCTGCCCTTGGAGCCCAGAGCGTGTGAACGCTGGAAGGATTCGATTGGCTTTTAGATCTTGCTGTTACTTCCTGAGGCGCTGGGGTTTGTTTGTTTTTTATGTGTGTTTACACTGTCTCCCATTGCCAAGGGCTTGGTCCGTCCTCTAAACGCGTTTTCACTTTTGGAATGCAGGATTGTAGAGTGTGAATAACGTGAATCCTGCTCAGTTCATTTCACACGCGGAGACGCAGGCCTGCAGTAGCGAAGTACACTTGTTCGCAGTAGCACCAACGCAAAGGTGGACCGGGTCCAAGTCTCCCTAATTACGAATTCTGCTTTGTTTTCCCTCTGCTGCATGACCTCATAAGAAGTAACATACCAAGAGCCAGAAACCTAACCGTTCCCACCCCCCCTCCCCCGCCCGCTCCCGGAGTGTTTATAGAAGTGGTTATAAGATTAAACTTTCTTTCAACCTCTTTTCTATTCAAGTGGAGCCATCTGGGGTTGCTCAAAATCAGAGAAATCAATCCGTGGACTCTACTATAGCACCAAAAAGAGACCCAATATCCAGAAAAGCACTTGCTCTCCATGCAGGCATTAAAAAAAAAAAAAAAAAAAGGGCATTATAAAAAAAAAGTCTACTGGAAAATAGGTTACGTTGAAACAAAATCTGCTCCAGCAATATGTTAAAACTGGGCCCTCCATCTGCACACCTACCCTCCGGAGTAATTTCTTCCCGCTGTTTGTTTAGTCTGCAATGGATCTATGTTTTCTTCCTTACTGCTCAGCTGTTGGGCCAGTGGGCTTGAATCACAGCCTTCAGTGTCTTGGAGGTACCGAGCTGCTCTCTAGCAGCACCAACTGTCTTGAGCTGTAAATGTAAATCAATACCATGTCCTTTCCTCTTGAAAAAGCCAAAGAGAAATAAACTCATTCATTCATTGAACAATATTTTTGGAGCACCACCTACTCCGTGCCAGGCCCTGCTCAAAGCCTGGGGAGGTAGCAGTAAACAACAACAAAAAAAGACCCCCCACTACCTTAAGGTGCAAATGGATGAGGCCTGGTTAATGAGTGAAAACAAATACTTATAGAACTTTTTTTCAGGGTAAAGGGCAGAAGCAAGTACTGTCTTGGATAGGAGAGTCAGGAATGCCTCCTCAGGAACGTTCGGAGGAGACCAAATTGAAGGGTCACATCATGTACACATCAAAAGGAAGGGCAGACCAGGGAAAGGGAGCTACAGATGCTAAGGCATGAGGCTTGTGTTCTCAAGGAACAAGAAAGAAGGCTGGTGCAGTTAGAGCAGGGAAGGAGGTAAGAGCAAGCAGTTCATGAAGAACTCATTGTTAGTTAGGGGTTTTAGGTTTCAAATGAGGTTGTGACTGATTTGTGCCTTCAGAGGATTGTCGTTAATGCTTCTGTCTGGAAAATTAAAGCAGGAAAATTAAAGCAATAGCAGAATTGGGCAAACCAGCTAGAAGACGATTGCCATAATCCAGCTAGGATGATACTGGCTTGGATCAGGGTTACTGGTAGAATTGGCAAAAGCAGGTTCTGGATATATTTAGAAAGTAAAGCCAATAGGATTTGTGGAGGAGCAGGTTTGGGGAGGAGGGTCAAGAGTTCTGCTGAGGACACGTGACGTTGGAAATGCCTGGTTGGCACCAGGTGCTGTCACACTGGCATGTGTGAGTCTGGATCTCCGGGGCACGGTCGGATCTGAGAACAGGAGGTGTCCGTGTAGAAAAGGGGCTTACAGTTTGGCTTGAATTCCAGGGGCGTAGATTGCGGTCAGTACAGTTGCCATGCTTTTTCTTGAGTTGCTGGAAAGGTGTCTAAATAATATAAATACATGGTCACAATGTTTATTTTCTCTCCGTAATACTTGCTGAGCTCTACTTAAAACACGTTTGTAGATAAAATGTTCTGGAATATCACTTTTGCTCGCCAGTTTTCCCTCTAGGAAATCCATAATCACTGAAGTAATTTTGATTTGGATAGGAGAGATTTTCTTCCATGAAAAGCAGTGTTGTGCGTTCTGAAACTTGTGTCTTTTCTTCTTCTGCACCCCCGGGAGTCCTTACAGAAGCTGAACACCAGGGGGAGCTAGTTTCCTTGCTTATACATGGCTGGCCCACCTGTTGGGACATTGCTACCTTCTGATTAACATCTGTATCAGAGACAAATTGGAAAGCAAGTCCAGCTTCTCTTTTCTCAAGGCTCCATATACTTACGTATACTTATAGGATTAACCTTTTAGCACATAACAAGGCTGAGTTGTCTTTTTTTTTTTTTTTCTGGTTTGTCTTTAAATTGGTCGTTTCAAGTAAAGATCATAACGTTTAGGCAATGTTCTCTGAACTTTAAATCCCTGTTAGTGAGCCAGATACTTGGGAGCTTTTTAAAACAAGCATACATGATTATTTATTTCAAATATTTTTGAGAAAGAGTATGGAAATCTAAATGTTATAAATAATAAATACATCTAGGAGACTTGAATGGATAACTGGGCCATGGGAACCCTGGCTCGGGATCTATTTTCTATTTTTTCACCAGGTATTAAGCTGCAGGACAGGCAAAGAAATGTACAAAAGCTACATTTCACAGCAGGGGAGGACAAAACTGGTAACTTTGTTAAAAGGTTTGGAAACATTGTATCCATGAAGGGTGCATTTGTCTTAAAAGAGCACATGATCTTAACTCATTTTTACCACTGGAATAATTCTACTTTTGAGGAGGGAAGTAGTCTTCGTTTAGCCTGAAACATTATTAAATCAACAAGGTCGGAGGAGAATCTCTTTAATCCCAGGAAACGAAAACTTATAATTAACGTGCCATCAGCAGTTTGATCTTTCCTGTCTCTGGCACCTATGAGCCAAAAGCCACTCTGACCACAATGATCCTTTCCTACCAGGACATTCCTTTCCAGAGAGGTGCCCCTGGTGGGCCTGAGACTTCCAGGGTCACTTTTGCGTGGGGCAGGGGTTAGAAACTGCAGGTCGCAGGCCAAATCCAGCCCACTGCCTGTTTTTCTTTCCAGACCACAAGCTAATAAGGTTTTTTTGTTTGTTTGCTTGTTTGGTAACACTTTTATGTGGTTGAAAAAAATTAAAAAAAAAAAATTTGTGATGAAATTCAAATTTCAGTATCCATCAGTAAATTTTTATTGAAGCAGCCATGCTCATGACTTTATATTTTGTCTTTGGCTGCTTTCACACTGCAGCCGTTGGGCTGAGTCACTGTGACAGAACCCACATGGCCCACAAGGCCTTAAATATTTACAATCTGGTCCTTTCCTGAACAAGTCTGCTGATCCCTGGCATGGAGACTATGCTGTTCACTTGGAGGTGGAGTAGCTCTTAGGACTAGTCTGTAACTGGATATAGATAATCTCCACTATTTATTACTTTTGATAGGCTTAGCTATTACTCTACAGTGACCACGATCTCATTTCATTCATATATTTTTCATTAAGAAATAATCAAGTTCAACAAACACTTCTTGGAAATGTTTGTGTGTCTCCCATAGAGAGGTAAAAGATCTTGCAGAAACATGAAAAAAAATTGTTTGAAGTGAATCTTCCTTGAGCTTTTATAATTTGAGTTGGATCAAACAATGAATGCCAGAGTCTATACAAAAAAAACGAATCAGTCTCTTAATAAAAAAAAAAGCCATACATTTATTGCAAATCTAGAAGTACCAGAATGTCACAAATACAGAACAAATCAGCAATCCTGTTTTAATTTTCTTCCAAACATTTAAAACCTGATTATTGACATACTTAAATTGGCATACATTTTTTTTTTCATGCAGTTAACAGAACGGACTTAGAGCCGGTTGCTCAGAAATCAGTTATAAATATTAAATTGTATTGAACATTCATAGTAAAAAATGTTGTAAAGTGCTGAAGTCATGTAAGTTTGCAAGACTGCCACAAGCTCAAAGTCCTTCTCAAGCAGTGACAGAGATTTGCTACATCCACCTTGATTTAGGTGTGTCTGCGATAGACACTTTGTCATCTTCTCCCCGCCCTCGAGAGTTTTCCAGATTGTCCTATTTTTATGGCTGATAAAATGCTATACAAAATGTAGCAGGTGGTGATGCGCTATGCCACTTTCATTTCAGTGCAGAGAAATATTCAAGCTTGTGTGTACCTGTAACCAAACTAGGCTTGTTACATTTTTTCCCCCTGAGTTGTCATAAATTAACAGTAAAGATGAGTAAAAGATGGAGCAGTGAGCGACCGTCACCTGGAGAGTGAGATTCAGTACGTGTAAGTAAGTAGCCACACTTGCCCTCTTTACAGAAAAATGAGAAAATGAGAAATACTTAAACATGTAGTGTAATTCCAAAAACAAAACAACAAAAAAACCCAACCAACAGTGAGCAGTTACCTAATAACTGGCAACTAGAGCAATCAAGGTTTATATAAGATGTAAATTGCAACTTCTTAACTCATGATGGTAAAAACACACGTCTCTGCTACCCCATGTGAAATACAGAAATGCTTCAACAGTTAGCAGTTACAAAAAGAAAAAAACTCAGAAATTCTTCAACAATTCACTGAAATATAATTCCGATCAAAGGAGATCCTCAAGTATTCGTAGGTGATAAAACAGATTGTTTTAAAAAGCTAAGGCGATTATTTTCTTCCCCTTCAAACAGCACAGGTGGCCTTTGACCAAACCGAAAAATCATTACAACCTGACCCTCTTAGGAGAGTGACTTTACAAGATAAGAAGTATTCTTTGAGGCATTGAAAGGATTGCAAAAAGGAGGTAAAAATGATGCTTAGGTCTCAGATTTTATCTCTTTTGATTAATCATCCTAGAATAACTTAATAATAAATAGTGGTTTAAATTAAAGACACTACAGTCACATATTTCTAAGTAATTGAAAGCAACAGGAAACACATTTTTGAATGTCATTCTCTTATCTTCGGTGTTGAAATACTTCTGGTAATGACTGGCCATAAAAAGAAGTGGTAATCTTCACATTGATGAAGTAAGTTCAAGTTATGGATTTTTTTTTTTTTTTTTGAAATTTCTGTTTATTCACCAAATGTTTGGTCTTAAACTGTACTTCATTCCCACGGAACATTTGAAAAACGGAGAGGTCACAGTTGGCGAATGGAGACCTCAGCGTTTTCCAAAGGGGTGTTAAAGCAATTTGCTCATATTTCCAAAAATGAGAAAATTTTTTAAATGATTTCAGTTTTGTTTGTTTGTCTGTTTTGAGTGGCCAATTTCATCTCCGTGATCTGGGCTAGCTGTCCTTTTGTAAGCGAGCTGTGTATCACATGCAAGAGCTCTTAAAACCACTTTACCATTTCGCGTCACTATTTTAAAACCAGAATGTGAGCCATTGGGTCCTTCTTTGTATCTCTCGGCTGCTCCTGCATACAACCAGACGTATGTACAGAAGAGTGCTGGGTTGTTTTTGTTTTGGCTTAAGAAACAATCGAACAGGAAAACTTAAAAGGAAAAAAAAAAAGGGGATGTTGGTGGTATTCTCATGTATGTTCCCTTTAAAATGTAGCTTTAAAAGTGGGGAGAGTGGATAGCCCCTGGACCTCCCTGTGCGCCCCGCCACCCCGTCCACCTGCCTCCGGGCCAGCGGGGTGGCGGCCCTGCCCAGGGAGCCTGTCACACCGGCTCCATTTTCACGTGACCTTTATGCTCATTTTTCCCAAGGTCCATTTCCAGAAAGTCTTCAGGTATGTCTTGTAAAGCTTTCCCACGAGGACTCTCTGCCTGTCCTTCACCCGCAGGGTGACCCTGGCACAGTCCCTTCTTACACGGTCTCACGAGCGCGAGGCACACGGCAGCCACGGCCATGCCAGCGGCGCAGGAGTAGAAAGCGCGGCTGTAAATCTTGCTCTGGTCCACCAGCAGCCCTGAGGAAGAATAGTCACAGCTGTTAGCAACGCGGGCACAGTCCCTCGCTCACCCAGGCTCCCCTCAAGTGCAGAAGCTTCTCCGTGCCTTTGCCTCCTTCTGTTTTATCTGGGTTTCCGAAAGGAACAGGAGTGGGGACGGTGGGCAGCTTTTCTGGGCTGGGGAGGAGGAGTCAGTTGGGACCAATAGAGCCTGTTCCGTCACGGGCTAATCTGGGCTCGTACAGAACAAAACTTGGGACAGTTAGATGCCTTTTTTTTTTTTTTTAAGATTTTATTTATTTATTTGTGAGAAAGTAAGCATGAGTGGTGGGGAGGGGCGGGGGGGGGCAGGGAGAAAGAGAGAGAAGCAGATTCCTCGCCAACCAGGGAACCCGACACGGGGCTCGATCCCAGGACCCAGAGACCATGACCTGAGCCGCAGGCACACACCTCACCGACAAAGCCACCCAGCGGCCCCTGCGTGTTCCTTTGAAGAGGAAAGATTTCGAAGAGAAGGAAGAGCCTTATTATTTTCCCTTGGGTTCACTTCAAGGATCTTTTAAAAGGTAGGAAGATTTCTCTCCTAACAACATTTGAGGACTATTTCAGGGCTAAGGTATGAAACACACCCAAGTCCTTCCTACAAGAAATACTGTGTAGAAATGAATTAAGTATCTGCAGAATACGTTCTGTGCCCACTGCCCTCATACCCTTCCTTAGAAGGGCAGATGACTTACAAAGTCCCTCGGTGCTGCTGTTCCAAAGTCAGAGGGTGGTGGGGTGATACGTGGATGGGTGCCCTCTGGCACAGCTAAGGCAAGACGGTAGCAAAAAAAAAAAAAAAACCCGGGGCAGCCTGGACTGCAGATGTGGGTTCTAATCCCGACCGCGTCACTCATTTACCATATGCCTGTTGGCTGACGCGCTGGGACCTTCCGTTTCCTCATCTATAACTCAAGACTGGCTCAGGTCATCTCTAATCCCCCCAGCTCTGAAATTCTATGGGACTAGAAAAAGCAGCCTTCTTTTTTTTCTTTTTTTAAGACTGTAACAAGAAGCAAGCACAATTCATAAGGCAGGAGTAGCCAAGGGTTATGTCTTTTACATATTTAAATTACCTGCAAGGGGTGGTCCGGCCAGGCCTGCTATGCTCTGAATGAAGACATACACTCCAGCAGCGGAAGACATCCTCTCGATTCCCACGACATCGTCTTCGGCGAGCAGCGGAATGTGGGTTCCCCCGACTGTTCCAACCATGAAACCAAAAAAGATGCTACATGACATGAGACCCCAGAACTCGGCGGCGAAAGTGAAGGCAAACAGAGACACCATCAGCAAGACGACGCAGATGAGCTCGATGTAGATCTTGCGGATGGGCTCCCGGCTGAGCACACAGCCGGCTCCAATCCTTCCGAAAACTTCGGCAATGGCCATCGTGGATAACAGAAAAGCAGCCCGCTCCTGCTCGATGCCCAGACTGATGCCCAAGGGGATGATGTACAGGGAAGGCGCGAAGAACCCCAGGGTGGCAAACAGACCAAACAACGCGTAACAGATGAAACTTCTGTCTTTCAAGATGGAGAAGTCTAACAAAGGGGCTGTCTGGTGGCTCGGCTTGGAGCCCGTCCCCACGAGGACCTGCTGCGTGTCGCCCTTCGGTCCCAGTTCTGGGTTGGCGTGACTAGGCACATTTTTCGGTGAGGTAGTTAGTTCTACTCCTGAGTCAATGGAGTCTATTGAGGTGCGTGTTTTCTCATTCTCGAGCATATACTGCACTTCTTTCCGACCCTCGTGGGCGGCTGCTGTCGGGGACCCGGGTCCTCGGATGACAATCGGTCTCAGCAGCGCCCCGCAGACGACGATGTTCAGCTGCAGCAGGCCCACGAAGAGGAGGCTGTACCTCCAGCCGACGCTGTCCTTCAGCGCCGTGATCGCTTGGGTGAGGGGGCGGAGAGGAAGCAGAAGTGAAGGTCAGAACCCGACTCAAGACCCGGGAGAAAACAGAGAGCCGACATGGGGGTTCAGACTTAGGACCGCCGTAGGAATGTACGGGGCCGTGCGAACGCAGCCCGCCTGCCCTGCAGGCTTTATCCTCACAGCCGATGCTCTTAGGAACGAGGGAAGGAGAAAACGGGCGCAGGGATGCTTAACTATAGAGCAATGCTCAGAGGCCGAGGTCCCCTGGAGAGCTTTGGAGGGTGCGTTTTGCCAGGTGGCAGCGTAAGATGTGAAATCAGTTGGTGACCTACGTGCAGGTTGGGCAAGCAGCAGCCCGCAGGCCAAACCCGCTCCGCTGCCGTCTCTGATCATAACGCCTCCCCCCGGGTGCAGCCACACTCCTTGGGCTGATGCGCCGAGTGGCAGCTTCTGAGCTGGGACCACAAATCTGAGGGCTTCTGACCGCTCCTCATGGTCCCGCGAAAGCCCACAGTATTCGCTGTCTGGCCTTTTTAAAATAGAATTTCCCACCTCTGACCTTGATCACTGTCCCTGCACTCCTGCGATCCTTAGTCGTGACGGGTTAAGTAAAAGGATAAACGCAGACTCCAAGAGCTCCTGGTTATCTCAGAATTTAACGATGCCAGGGTTCTAGGGTTTCTGCTTACAGACTGTCCTTTACTACCAGAGTCCTGCTCCTTCCTACCAGGAATCTGGGTCCTCGGCTGCTGACCAGGTCCTCGGCTGCTGGACATGGTTGGGGGGGGCAGGTAGGGGCGATGGCCACAGGAAGCCTAGAGCCCCACAGTGATAATCAAACAACACAGGCCTCGCAAGATCCTGAAAATATCTCGTAATCAACACTGAAAGGTTAAATGATATTCAGTAGAATTTTACTATAGTCCAATTCTTTGAGAGCATGACTATGAAGATACACTAAGCTGGTTATCCAAAAGATAGGCTTAGCAAGGCAGCCCCACATTCCTTGGGGGGGGGCATTTATTTTATAGCATGTTTTTATACCTCCCAGTCCTCCCATTCATGTGGGAAACTTCCAATTGCAAAATACTTTAGGCTTGGGTATTATTATTATTATTTGGTATTTATTTATTTACTTATTTTAAGTAGGCTCCATGCCCAACGTGGGGCTTGAACTCACAACCCAGAGATCAAGAGTCACAGGCTGTACCCACTGAGCCAGCCAGGTGCCCGTAGGCTTGGGGGTTTGGAAAAGCTGTATGCTCATCTGGCAAAAAGTGGGTGTAATTTTCCTTTCTCTATTTCACATGTCTTGAGGGCCTAACGGCACCCAGGGAGATGCCCCGTGCTAAGGAACAAAGGCGACCAAGATACAAGATACGGTTTCTGCCCTCAGAGGGCATTCACGAGCACTGCTGCTCCCCTGGACATGTAATTTTGAAAAATTTTATGTGGACAGTAAAGTGGAAAGTGCCTGCCTGCCCTTTGTCTAAGTTCAGTAATTAACATGTCCTCTCTCTCTGCCTGTCTTCCGATACATTTATTTGCACACACACATTCAGTTTTCTGAACTACGTAAAAAGCTTCAGACATTAGGACATGTCACCCCTAAATACTTCTACATTATCTCCTTTGAACAAAGCATCGTCTGCTGACACATTCTGAAGAAACGGCAGAGTGAGAAATGAATCTGGGTCTCCAAGGTTAACTGTCTACTACTCGTTAGAGTGTAATTCACCTCCTGATGTTGAAGTAGCAAAAAAAACAGTGATAACAATTTTGCTGTGAGGGTGCCTGGGTGGGTCAGTCAGTTAAGCATCCGACTCTTGATTTTGGCCCCCATCATGATCTCAGGGTCGTGAGACCGAGCCCCGCGTCTGGTAGCCCTGGATCCTGCTCGAAATTCTCCCTCTCCCTCTGCCCCTTCCTCCTCATGCACGGGCATGCATGCGCGTGCTGTCTCTCTCTCTCTCTCTAAAAAATAAATGAATAAATTTTTCTTTTTTTTTTGCTGTGAGATTACCCATTCACAGATAACAAAACTAACTTTATTAACGTATGTTAAATCCACGCTGAACGTGGTTCTTTAAACGAAGGAGAGAAATCACAGTATGAATGACCTCAGATCCTCACGGAGGTTTCAAACCTTCCCACTGAGTATGTGTCTTGCGTCTTCTATTTATGTCAACTCAGATTAGTATTAATGGCGTCTGAAATCCTAAAACGGGATTAGGGAGGACAGATCCTACCAATGCGCTGGAGGACAGAAGGCAAATAACCTCTCCCTGTGCACAGAGTTCAAGTCCCACCTCCGCTGCCCATTGGCGGGAGCTGCCGAGCGGCTGCCTCCAGCCCAGAGGCCCCCGTGGACCACTGCGGTCCGCCTACCTGGGGCGAAAGCAAACATGGCGAAGCATTCTCCCGTGGAAGCAACCGCAGTGACCATGGAGCGCTTCTTGTCAAAGTACTGAGATAAGATGGTGACAGTTGGTAGGAAGCTAAAGCAGTATCCCAAACCTGGAAGAAAGCCAGGGAAAGCAGTCAGAGCCCAGGACCGACTGATCCCAGAAGGATGCGTTCAAAGAGTCGGGATTTTTGTGTTTCTTTTTGCTTTAATATTTAATTCAACGTACGCATGTATGTATGCGCTTTTAGGGATCTCTTAGTTTTATTTGTTTATTTTTTTTAATATTCTGTGCCATGTCAAAAAGACATTTTTGGTTTCCCAAAAGATTATGTGCCAACAAGGACCTTGGTCACAATGCATGACAATTTGAAAATGATACCAAAGAAGTTAACAACCAGACAATCTAATCTCTTGGCAATCCAAACAGTCCATTTCTGAGATAATTCCTGGGCAAAAGGGGAAATAGAAGTTGCCATTATAAACTATTTAGTGGGGCAGGAGGCATTTATTTTTTTAAATCATAAGTTCTGGGAGCCAAGAATTTCATTCTGGAAAAAGGTGCTGTAGCAAAAAATTAAGCAAAATAAAATAGGTTTCATTAGAGGTCTAGAGAAGCTATAACCATTGTTTGGGGATGCTAGGAGAATAAACTGTTTTCTGTCCCCCCCCCATTTTTTGGCATTAAAACAATTTCTATAATTCACAACGGACAGACTGTTATCAAATACAGTTTTAAAAGAAGACTTATATTTGGAAATAAATGAGGTTTGTTAAGTGCAGAAATATAGGAAAAATGCAAATCTTCACAATATACAATATCATCATAAGTAACACGCGGACTCCTTTCAAAGGGAAAAAAAGTTTTCTTGCTGCGCTCTCCGCTATGCCCCAGAAGCCTCGCATGCCCATTGTGGAAATACCCACTAAAGAAATTCACATTTTACTTTGTGGAAACGATGCCTTTTGGCTGCAAACTCACGCAAGAGAGAAGTTCTCTTTCTCATGGGTAAATTTTTTTTAAAGATTTTATTTACTTATTTGACACAGAGAGAGATCACAAGTAGGCAGAGAGGCGGGGGGGCGGGGAGCAGGCTCCCCGCTGAGCAGAGAGCCCGATGCAGGGCTCCATCCCAGGACCCTGAGATCATGACCTGAGCCAAAGGCAGAGGCTTAACCCACTGAGCCACCCAGGCGCCCCTCAGGGGTAAATTTTACACAATGCTTATAATTGTTCAATTGGACAGTTGACCCAAAAATTCTTTGGGTTTCTTAAAGTTTTTTAAATTTTTAAAAACCCCGTCAAAAACTCTGCGGCAGTAAGAGGAGTTTCCCGTATCCCCTGGAGTCCATCCATCTTGGTTCAGAACCACTGATCTGGGACACTATTAACTGCAAAGAAAAAAAAAAGAGAAAGGGAGACAGAAGGACTCTGCGGGCTGGACCCCCTTCCTCCCCTTCCTTGTTCTTCTGATTGGGTATCTGAACTTGCGAGCCCGGGAGCAGCCCTTACCGGATACGACGCCGATCGAGATATACATGTGGTAGAGTTCCCGGGAGAAGGAGGCCGTCACCATTCCTGTGCTGACAAGCAGGCCCCCGGCCACCACCACCAGACGGTGTCCGAAACGGGTGCTCAGGACAGCAGAGAGGGGAGCTGCAGATAAGGACCATAATGTGATATTTTATTTTTTAATGTTACAATTTTATTTATTTTTTTAGAAAGAGAGCGAGAGAGCAGGGGGAGGGACCGAGGGAGTAGGAGAGCAAATTCTCAAGCAGATGCTGCACTGAGTACGGAGCAGACCTGGGGCTGGATCCCACCACCCCAAGATCAGGACCTGAGCTGAAAGCAAGAATCAAACGCTCAACTGACAGAGCCACCCGACGGCCTCCGTAATGTGACACTTTAACTCCAAAGGCGGAAGCATTAGCTTTCTTAAGATTCCTTTCCTTAGGGCCCCTGGGTGGCTCTGTGGGTTGCGTGTCTGCCTTCGGCTCAGGTCATGATCCCAGGGTCCTGGGATTGTGCCCCTTGTGGGGCTCCCTACTCGGCGGGGAGTCTGCTTCTCCCTCTCTCTGCCCCCCTACCCCTGCCCCCCCACACTCCTGTGTGCGCTCTCTCTCTCAAATAAATTTAAAAAAAAAAAGATTCCTTCTCTTAAGTCTTGAACACTGAGGGATGATGTGCTATCGATATATAACACATTTTACACAATGCTTATAATTGCTCAATTGGACAGTTGACCCCAAAATTCTTTGGGTTTCTTAAAGGGAAAGCCAGACTCACAGTACAAAACTTACAGCGGTATTTTTTGATACAAGTGACATGAACTTGCCATGAGCACCTATAAAGTTAGATATGCATTTAATGTCTGTTATTCTGTCATAAAAATGGGCTTTCCCCTGAAGGCTTGAATTGTTTCCTTTTGCTATAGTCACTGCTTTGGATTCCTTTTGAAAAAAGCTCCATTTGGGGTCAGTTTCTAGCTCAGTTTCATTTGACTTTTCTGAAAATGGTATGAAAGTCACTGAATTCTCCGTTGAACACCCCAAAAGGAGGATAGCCATGGGATAAATAATTCAGAGTGGCTGATCAATTGTCATTCATTTAGCTTCTCTACTCTGAACCCTGCAGCACATTTAAGTCTGACAAATCGTTTCCCAGTGATACGTTACTTGGGCTGACCCCGATGCTGACTGGAATATACAGAGATGAGGGAACCTTTGAGAATTGGGTAAAAGAGCAACACAGAACATGCCGGATAGAGGAGGGGGAAAAAAGGACTAAATTTTGTTGGGGTTGGTGCATGTAAGTCTCATGTTAGTAGAATATAAACCAATATTGAATACAGCTCATAATGAAACCACTCTTGTCAGTTTTAGGTGGTTTGTTGGCGCAAAGCATAAACTACTATAATTATAGCATTTAGGAGATCTATTTTCTGGTATAATAGTATTAACTGGAAATTTCTTGTTTACCGTATTGTTGTTTTTGGTTATAAAAGAGCTCAAAGCAAAGCTTTGGACATTTTATTTGGATGACCAAAGGTAAAATTTTAATTCTAATTCACTTATCACTCCAAGAAAGTCAACTTTCCACAGCTAAAACATTAAGTATCTTAATATTCAGTGAAACTGGAACTAGGAACCCTTCTGTGAAGCTTGCAAGACAGAATATTAGGTGTTGTAAGATAAGTTTGTTACTTGATAGGGAAGGACAGGGGAGCCGCCTCTTTAAGACATTATATGGCTGAAAATTAATTAAAATTAAAGAAAGAAAACTGTAGAGGTAAGAGCTCCATTGGCAGGATATTAAAGTCAAGGAAGTGTAACGTCAGCCCCACTGGCTTTCCGAGGTGAGTCCAGTGGCTGTGTTTTCTTGGAAGACCTCAGTGTGGCCCCTGGCAGACGGAGGGACTGTCATGAGAATCAGGCCTGTAGGGGACTCAGGGAGAAGGAGCGTGTTACAAGTTCTACTCAAACCCCATTTTCTCCAGTGTTGTTGGACGTGGGAGTCCTGAATAGTGGCTAGCCAGTGTTAGGGAAGCAGGTGTCTGGAATTCATCCCTTCTGGATGAGGTTTGTCACTTTACATCACACGCTCTTTCACACCCCTCGTTCTTCCTCACGTACCCACATTTCACATGCCTACCCTGTTTGCCAGACATGTTTTTCAAGACCAGGGCCTAGGACAGCACATGCTTTTGCTGTTCCTTCTTTAGAAAATGACTCTACAGGATAGGGGTTTACTGCTGGCCTCAAAGTCATCTACCGTGTCCCAAGAGTGTGCATACAGCAGGTGTTTAATGCATGCGTGTATACATTGAAGGTCATCAGGGTGGCAAATCAGGCCCTTTCCTTCAGCATCTCTTGTTTCTCGCCATCCCCAAACTCCTGAAAACCTTATGACTTAATTTGAGGCTAGAAAGGGCCCACAGGTCATCGAAGGAAATGCTTCGGAAAGAGGATGGGTACCATTACGTAGTTAAGCCAATGAAAACCGACGCATGGTTACATGTTGCTTAAACAGGAAGAGGTACTAACCTGTAAATGTTAAGACAAATACACATATTGATATGACCCAGGAGATCCTGCTGTTAGATTCATCAAAACTGTCCATTAAGTCATTAAAGAAGACGCCAAATGACTTGATGATGCCGTAGGTAAAGACTTCAACGAAGAAAAAAGACACAGCTACCACCCAGCCCCAACCTCCATCAGGCACTTGAGTATAAACATTGGCTGTGGAACAAAGCTGTGATGTCTTTTGGGTCATTCTTAATCTGAAATAAAAAAATTTAAAAAAAACTCAGACCAGCAATAGCATGAGGGTCACTCTGCTAACCCTTTAGCCAACATTAATAGACAAGAACTACTTACCACATTTCTTAGGGTGATGAATATTTAAATAACATGCAGTTACTATAAAGTCTTAGGGTAACAATTACATATTTATTTAATGGTCACAGCTGAGAAGTGTTACTTCCAAATTATTTTGTATTAGTGTTATCTGTGGAGTCCCCAAAGAATCTGGAAGCAAGACTTTCCAGCTGTGACAATAAATGGGGAAAAGCAAAAGGAATCAGAACAGCATTGGTAGAGGCAGCCCAAAAAACACAGAATGGCCACCAGACCCAAGCATTGATGCTGACCGTGAACTTGGAAGACAAGTTAGGTAAAGGGAGCTTGAACTGATCATAAGGCATGTCGATCAGAATTGAAGCCTGGAAATTGGGAGGTCAGCCACTACTGACATTCCATCTAGCACCTTCTATGGGATAAGTGTTTGGGACATCCTATAGACACTCTACACGTCTCTGCTTGATGCTACTGGCCATTCAGAGCATTGATCCCATTTCCCGCTCAGTCAGCAACATTCTGATTATGATCTGGGGTCCCCTGGGGATGTAACTACATGTGAGAACTCTGTCTTCTGGGAGTTTGTTGAGCATAAGGAAGTTCCTCAAAGTTGATCACCATTTGATGTATCAGCAATTGACAAATACTCTAGGATACAGTGGCCAAAGAAAGCACTATAGATTTGTATGGCCTGGACAGCCAGTTAACCTTGCCAAGTTCCCTCTGACCTCAATATGCTTTTCTGCAACAAACAGCAGAGCCAACAGACCTATGCTCCTAACACACTAGTAAGGGGAAACACCATATTTAACCCCAGAGGGAGGATGGGTGAACTTGACTCTTCCCCACTGGGTTCTAGCACACATTTGCAGAGCCCCCTGCAGCGACATGTGCTTTGAAACCGTGATATGATATGTTAGCTAATTCAACATAATAAAAAAATAATTTTTAAAAAGTAAAGAAAAAAAACAAAACAGTGATGGGTTTTTAGCCCAACCCCAAATTAGTATCTATAATAATACGTGAGTCCCTGGTCTTAGAACACTTATTTAAGACTTCTCTCCGATCATCCAGGTGAATACAGGTGAATTTTTCTGGATGCATGGGTGTCCTTTTCCTGGCTGTAACTTGCCATGTTCAAGTACTAAGGCAGGTTTTACTGATAATACAGGGTAACTGAAAAAATAAGAGGACACAACCTCATCTATCCAGTCGACCTGCCAAGTTCTGGGATTAGGATCTAATATGTAGAGTTTACCCTGTCCATCTTAAAAAGCAGCAAACCTGACCTAACTTAGTAGCGCTCATCCTCTCGAGGGCGCCATTCCCACCGTAGCCCGGGTCTCTAAAAGGAGAGTATACTCACTTTCTGTCCTTTACTGTTAAATATTTGATAGAATGAAATAGGGCATAAGATGCTTAAAAAAGCTTATGCTCTCTGCAGCAGACCTCTGCATTTTGATGTGCGTCAGTGTGTCCTTCCTGAGAGCACTTGCAAAGCGGGGGAGGCCAGTTAAATGTCTCGGGATGTAGGCTGAGCACTGACAGAACAGTTTTGCCAGTGGTCTTCCCCGACATGGAAAGCAGCTGATTTAAGGTGCAAGCAGGGAGCCCTCCCCGACAGGAGGTTTTCACAACGCCCCTCCTGCATCAGACTTCCAAAACTCCCTCCCAAGATGAGGGCAGCTGCGGCAGAGGAGTGAGATAGGGCTAGGCTTGAGATCTAGAAGGCCAAAAATAAGAAGTACTTTCCAGCAATAAGGTCTAACTAGTATTGAGTGTTTATCCTTAGGGAGGGGGGAGGGGGGAGGAGAGAGGGGGGAGGTGGTACGAGCCCACAGTTTAGCTCCTTCTAATCCCTGCCCCCTACCAGGCCATTCATTTGGGCTTTTCCTTTGCGGAGCCCCAGACTCCTTTACCAGCCTAACTGGCTGGCCCCTTGTGCCCCGGTACGATGAATCTCTTTGAAATGCGGCACTGTTAGGACATTTTTCTGCTCAGTCTTTTTCAGTGGTGTTCCTCTTTCTGAAGGACAAATAAAACCCACGGATTAGCCTGGCTTCCAATGCCTTCGTCGCTGGACCCCACCCTCTTTGTAGCCTTCTCACTTCCACTTCTAAGACTTGACTCAGGCCCTGGTCCAGATGGACTCCTCCTTGCCCTGCAGTCCCTAACCACCCAGTGGTTAACCACCAAACCCTCCCCTGCCACCCTGGGTACCCCCTTTACAGCTGGCACCTGTCAGGCCCTCCTCAAATCTTGCTTCTAACACGATGCCTCCTCTGACCCACTTCACGTAGGGGCTTCTCTTCCTGAGATCAGTATCCCTTAGTAACGGGATACTGTTTACTTGCATGTTTATCTTATTTGCTCAATTAAATGATAAGCTCAAGGAAAACAAAGCCTTGGGGCCTTCATCTCTTTGTACCTTCTCCCTTCCCACCTAGAGCCCCCGCACACAGCCGGTATTTCGCTTTTCAGCGAAGTGCCTAGGAGGGGGCCAGGCCCCGTGCTGGGCACCGGGGAGACCCCAGTGAAAGACAGAGGGATGGTCTCTGTCTCTATGGACTTCAATCTCTGTCGATGGTAATGACAGGAATCCTAAACCTGAAATGTGTAGTAAAACCATCTGCTGTGTCCTTCCAGAGCTCAGCGTTGTTTCTAAAAAGCAGTTAGAAGCGGTAACCAAGTCCAAGGGCCTATTAGCACGGTTGTTCTAACCCGGAAGGGTGTGCAAACGACCTTAGGGCTCAGGACCAACCTGAATAAAAACATTGGGATGAAACTGATCAAGGCCCCCAAGAGACAGACTGAAATTTCTCTCTAGCCTAAAACCACTATGGGATCAAGAGGCAAGAATCTTTTCGTTGGGACTGCATGTAGGACAAGACAGCAGGTCTTGTATGAGGAGGGGGTTCCTACTGGTCGTCAGAAGGTTCTGGTGATGGGTGGCTACCTCACGCCCTCTTTGCCCTTTATGATTTGCGGTTTAGATGTGCAACACGGGAGGGGACCCCAACCACAGGGAGCTCAGTAGGGTTACAGTGATGGAATATTAACGCGGAAAGGGGATTTGGAACTCATTTGTCCATCTCATTGTAAAATCTTACTCGTTTTGCAAAGTGGGGGAACTAACCCCATGGGAAGGCGCTTGACCTAAACAATCCAGAATCAGATATGCCTGCCAGCGGTCTAAGGAACAGCACTTTAAAGGCCCAGATGGGGGTATCTTAGGTAGGGATTGTGAGGAATGCCTCTCAGAGACAAAAATATCCTTGACCTCCATTAGTACACAGAGGTTGGCCGGGAGGCTCTTGAAGGTTCCATTCTGCTTTGGCCATTCAAACTCTCATATTCAGCACGGAGTTCTGGGAATCTCCGGATTCCTCAGGCCAAACCTGGTGGCCCAGGGAACCTGGGAGCAAGCAGGAAAGTGCAAATTCTAGATGGTTCTTGTGAATGTAGGTGAAAAGTAGTTGGACCCTGCTTAGACCTGACCTGTGGTCACTGGTTAGATGGCAGACCTGACTGCTATCGCCTGTGGACTTTCTGAACTCCCTCTTGGTGTTCGATTCCTTTGTTTCTGTAAACTTTGCTTTACATCCCTTCTACTCCCCTGAAGCAAGATCCCAACAGAACTTTCACTTGCATTGTTAGGTTTCTGGGCAACAGAAGCTATCTTATTAGCATTACTGGGAACATCATAAAGGGAAGAGGACACCCCCAAACCCACTGTTCCTCCAAACATTATGCCTCTATCATCCTAAAGTGTCGCATCTCCTGTTGTATTTAGCTTTGAAGAGAAGACCACAGTCTAGAATCATCATAAAGTAACCTGGTTTCTGAATGGGATGGGTTTCTGGATGGGAAGCTCTGTGTTTTGCATGTCCCGAGCACCTAGAAGGGTGGTCAGCACCTCTTTCCAGACCCATGGCCTGGCAGCGCGTTCGGACATAGTATGTGCTCAATAAAATTTCCCTAGACAAAGCAGGAGTCTGGGCGTGCCGCTGAAGCAGGGCCTTGCTCTAGCCTTATAAAACCAAGTGGGGAAGTCCCTGCTTGCAGACTACATCTTTCCCTGGACTCCTCTCCTTTTTTGTACATTTATTCATTCAGTAGGCCAACTGGCTGAAAGTGTCCGGCTCCTCAAAGCTAGAAACAAAGGCTTGAATTTTGAACTCAGTTACTTAGAACCGTCTGTGAGTTCCAGAATATGAAACACTGTCTGGTTCAGTTTTTTGGTGATGCGAACTCAGCTTACGGAAAGGGGAATTGGCTTACTACTGGGCGGGGTGGGGGTCCTAACTGGTGAGGCATGGGGAGGGGCAGAATCCCTTTGCTCCTTGATTTCCTGCCGTCAGGGGTAAGTAGGTAGGAGATATTTGCTCTTCGTCTCTGATCTCGCCCTGCCCTAAGAATTTACCGTTCCAACACAGCTTTTGAGCCTGACTTGCTCTGAGTTACACTTTCATTCTTCTTAACTCTTGAGCCCTTTGCGACAAAGCCCATGGGTTTGTCTTGAAGCTCTTGGGCATTATTTGCTGAACGTCTGCTTACCATTAACGGGCTGCACAATCTTGGGGAAATCACTTAATCTCTAAATTTCAACATCTGTAAAGGAGGGATTAGACACAGCAGATTTGAGGGGCACTCCCAACGGTAAAATTCTACAACGGGGCTTCCTGGCAGCCAACCCGCCTGTACCCTCCTGTTCCCCCAAAGGACATCCGACGACCAAATACACCGGGTATCGGTTGTCTTAACTTTAAATCAGTGAGGCTTCCGCCAAGGCGTGGAAATCTGCTCTACCTGGGGACTTCACCATGAGTCCATTTGTTGAGTAAAGATTTGATCTGGGGGCATCCAGAATGCAAAATATTGAATTATTACACGTTCGAGCGTCACTCCAGGGTCAGTTCAGAGCAAAGTTCAAAATGCAGCCTTCGGATTGAAATGGCTGGGATAAGCCAAGGCTCTCAGCAAACGCCCTGCCAATCTCCGTTCTTCTGAAAGGCGTAGCCTGGAGACAGCAGCTTTGGACAAGTTGTTTTCAGCCCCAGTTGTCAAAACCAGTCTGCATTTAGGTGAAGTTCATCGGAATTCTCTATTTAAAAAGTCCCCAGCCTAACCTGGAGGTCTGCCTCAGCAGCTCTGAATCATCAGCTACCCCCGACACCCCCATTTTACAAGATCATGCTGAAACCTGAACCCCTAGTTTATGTGTCCTCCTCAGGAGTTCCACTGAGGAAGGTCCATTTTTGGAAACCACAGAAGGAAAACTCACAGTTAGTGGTACTCATTAAGACAGAAGGAGCTTTTCCACTTGGCTGCATTGTTTATTCACGAACTGGAACTCTCTATCTTGGCCACCCTTCCCTTAATTATGAGAAGAGGTATTTCTTTACCCCGGGGGCAGGATGTATTGTTGACCCCCAAAAATGCCGTGTAATGGTGCTTGGGACATGGAAGGATGCATCCCTTAGAAATTTCAGCCTAAGCACGTGGTAGTCTTTTGCAGACAAGACACTCATTAGGATTTGCAAAACAGTAAGATTGCTGAGAAATCTCATTCCCAGTGTAGAAACCCTCTCCCGCAAGAAGGAGCTGGCGCAGAGCGTCTAACAGCACAAGCAAAACCAGCTTCCAGGTTGTCAAGTTGGAATGCTCTTCCCCAGTTGGCTTCGGGGAGCTTTTTCTAAGACTAACGCCCCCCGCGTTTGGTGACATTTCCCGTGCCACCTAACAAACTTCTATCTGTCACCTGTCTGCCGGGGGACAGTGGGGAGGGGGGCGGGTTTCATTTCCAAAAGAAGAGGAAAAAAGAAAAGAAAAGGAAAAAACCCTGAAGTTAATAACCCGTTTCCTCTGCAAAATCACTCTCCGCCACTACGGAACCGCTCAACCACCCGGGCGCTTCCCTGCGGTTGAAGCCCCAACAGGGAACCTTGGAAGTTGAAGCGGGACCAGCCGTCAGGCGCTGACAGCTCGGATGGGCAAGGTGTGGGACCCGCGCTCTGCAATGCAATCCCTGCCTTCCCTCTGCGGGGTCACGTTGGCTGCCCCGGGTGTGTGTGCCAGCTGGGGGTCGGAGGGGGGGCACAGGGATTCCCACTTGCCCTCGCGCTGCCTCAGTGGCCCGCCTGCGCGCGCGCGCGCGCGGGTGCCTGGGGAAGGTACCTCTGACATTTCGCTCTTATGACGCGCAGGCAACTTCATGCGGAAAATCCACGCAGGGGTGAGCCGAACCTCCCCACTCACCGGATGGCCTGAAGCCCCTAGCCCGGGGCTTGGGGGGAGGCACTCCAAACCAAGCCTGCCTCTAGCTATTTTCCGGACCCCAACTGCCAGGGCCACGGGCATTCAACTCTCAGCTGCCCACACTGGCTAGAGCGCGTCATCCCGGTGGCCCCAGGCATTCCCAACTGTCAGTATTTTTCAGAATAACCTCTCCAAAATGTTAAGACGTGAAGTGGTCTCCTCCCGCCTCCCCCACCAAAATAATTAATTAATTAATCAATTAAAGCGCCCAACACAGATTAAAAAAAAAACCAACCCCACACACCACAATCAAACTTTTAAACATGTAAAATAATAAAACCAACTCACCAAGTTAGAAGGGAAGAGAATAAACCCCAAAAGGCTCCCAATAAGGCGGAGGCTTGGCCTCCCCCTCCTTATAAGCCGCTCGGTAACATGAGAAAGGTTTAACCCCTTAAGGCGTGGGCCCGAGCCTACCGCAAATTGGCTCCGGCGGGTGAGCACCGGGCGCCCGGCCCGCAGCGCCCCGGCCCCGGCCCCGGCCCCCCCCCCCCGGCCGCGCCTCGGGCACCCCGGCCACACCCCCCCCCCCCGCCCCCCACCCCGGTCGCCTGCGCCCGGGCCCTGCGTGCTGCTGCCCGCGCCCCGGCCCCGCGTCGCTGCCTATCCCTTATCCTATACCGGCTGCAGCCGGTCTCCGCCGGCCTCGGGGGCGCGCCGCCGCCGACCATGTGCTGCGAGCGCCGAGCGCCGCCAAGGAGGGGGCCGGCCTGGCGCGCGCGCGCCGGCCCACGTGGACCGGGGCCGCGCCGGGCGCGCGCCCGCCCGGAGCCCGGGCTGGGGGTCACGGAAGGTAACGGCGTCGCGGTCTGAAGCCAACCGCAGGGTCCTGCGGGGCCACCCCCTCCCCTGCCGCGGGGGTCCCTGGCCCGCCGCCCCGCTCCCCCCACCCGAGCGCGGCCTTGCGCGCCGGCCCGACTGGACCCGGGCGCTTTGCTGCACCAACCGCGGGGAGCGCGGGCGTGCTCGGGGCGCCTGCAACCTCTCCGCCAGCACCCCTGGCCGGGCGCGCGGGGGGCCCCGGGGCCGCTTCTTTTCCTGCAGCGCCGGGGCGCCCCCACCGCCCAGTCCCACCCGCGCCTGGAGGATCTGGGGATTGGCTGGGGGCAGGCGGGGAGAGGGGCGCCGCGGCTAAACCCGCGCGGTGCTCGCGGCTGCGGCGGCTCCGCGTCCGCCCCGGGCGGAACAGGTTCCTTCCAGTTTGGGTGTGAGCTGCGCGCGCGGCGCCGCGAACCCGGAGTTCCTCCTCCAGCGCCCACTTCCCCCCATTTCGTCAACTCGCGCCTGGTTCCCCTTGTGGGGCCGCGGGGGAGGGAGTGCCGCAGTGAGCCCCAGACAGCTAGTGGCCCGGCTGCTACGAGTCCCTTGCTTTCCCCCGTGTGCAGCAGCAGCAACAGCATCCGCGTTGCGCGAAAGGGATGTGAGCAGCCGGGCTGAGTCAGCATCCCTGCTCGGGGCGCGCGCGCATCCTCCCTTGCTGGCGTTTGGCGACGTGCACACAGGTGCATGGCTGCCTAATCCGCGGACAGCCCCCAGGAGGGGAGGCACCCGGACGTTTAGGGAGTACGTGCCCCTCATCCCGAAGTCCCCGACCCCAAGGTCACTGTGAACTCAGCGGATCAAGCCCGGGAAACCAGTTATGAGCTTATCATGGGGGACAAAGCAGTGTGTCGTATCCCGCATTTCGGAGCCCGCGGGGGCGCAGACTTGGTTTCCTGGTCTCCACCTCACCTACCCAGGGCCAATTTGAGACCTGCTCGGAAGCAAAGACCTTATTCTCTGAATTTCCCCGTCGACTTGGATACGGATTGCTCCCTCCATGGCGGGGGGAGGGGGGGTGGTTCGAGGAAGTGGTTCTGATGTCAGAAACTCATGAGCCTACTTTGGGAGCGCGCGCATGCGGCGGCGCCGCCGGGAAGAGTTGGCAGTTTGAGTTTTAATAAAAATCCCTTTGCAATCGCCGCCTGCTTTCTCTCACGACTTGGCGATAGGGTCTACTGCGTTAAGTGCCGTTGTGTGCTGTTGCAAGCTCTGGCGTGGGTCGGGCGGGGAGCAGGTGTGTTCGTGTCAGGTGCTCTGTTACGGGCCAGGGGGCAACTGATCAGCTTTGCAACCTTGTGGAAGTAACGTAACTTTTTGGAGGGTCGATTTCCACATCCGTAAAATGGGGTCAATAATCGTATTTCCAGAATTAATTTAGGATGCCTGTAAAGTGTGGATCAAAGTGACTGCCTGTGATGAACCCTTGGTGCCCATTAGCTCTTATTATTATTATTTATGGCTTATCATACCGATTACTGACTCCAAGCACCCCGCCCCTCCAGGGACCCTTTTTTTCGGGTTGTTCTTCCAAGAATCCACACATGATTTTTTTTAAAAAAAAAAAAAAAAAAAAAAAAAAAGATTTGAATCCCTGAGATGAAAACAGTGCTAAAACAGGACTGACTGTAAGTGTAATCTTTGAGATTTAGGATCTGACAGTGCATTTAGGACCTGCCACTGTGCTCACTATGGAATCGTCATAGTATCTACTGTTTTGGGTCTTGGGAACCTATGGGTGTAGCCCAGTATTTATAACTGAGTGATTCTGATCAAGTCCTGGAAGTTCCTGGTGCTTGGGCTTCTTGATTTTAAACATTAGGCAAATCATGCCAAAAGCTCTAGGTATGAACGAATGATTGAGAAAGTCACATCTGAGTATCTGACCAGAGTGAAAAGCACTGGCTGTTGGGGAGGCATAACTGTGATGATGATAGTCATACTAAATTGCTATTATTTTATTAATATTATTAGACCTATTAATTTTTTGCATGTTTGCTTTGTTCCCAATACTATTAAATGCCATACATGTGAGCTAACATTCACCCCATCAGTAACATTCTGCAGTCAGCACTATCCCCATTTTACAGATGAGAAAAGTCGAGGCACAGAGCACTGCAGGGCTTTACCCAAGGCTTCAGAACATTTATAAACACACCTGGCCCTTTTTTTGTAACTAAAGCTCATACAGAGATGACATTTGCCACCTGCATTTGGGGAAGGGGGGGTGGGGTTGGAAACCCAATCTCGGCCTAGTCTTGCCAGCCACAAGCAAGTGACTTTTGCTCACCCTGGTTAGAGGCTGGCTTCACCTTGGTCCCTTTCCTAGTGAGACCAAGCGTGAAAACCCCTGTTTTTTTCACTCCTCCGGGGAAAGCAAAGAGAGGGAAAGCACTGCATTACCATGCTAATCAAAACCCCCCCAAACAAAACTAACTCTGTTTAGTTCTAAATACAAACAAAAGAACCCTTGGAGTCTGGAGTACAGAACCAGAAAAATCAGGATATTAAGTTCAGGGTTCAGCTCCTCGTTTAGCCTCTTCTGTTGTGTCTGCTGTAACCCCAGTGGCAGCAGAACCCCAGGGGTCTTTCATCTACAGTGGGCAAGGCTGTGATGATGCCCTTAAAAAGTCCGTCAACATCTTCTGGGGAAATAAATTGGCTCCTGAGGCTCTCCCCTCTGCTTGCTCTCTCTAGCCATCTTGCTTTGGGTCATTTGCATGAGAACAGATTCCTTTGTGCAAAGTTGGCCAGCCTGTTCTCTGTCTACGTTTATAGCCCTTCTAGTCTTCATGTTGGGTTGCTAGGCAGATATGACCCTGGCTTGCAAATAAGCTCACTGCATTTACCAGCCCGTGAGAACTTAAACTTGGGTAAGTAGATTGAAAGGAATCTTGTCTGGAGCTTGGGGCTGGGTCTTCAGAGCAGCCTCGAAGAGGAGGAGCACTGGAGGGGACTCCTTTGGGAGGTGTTGCTCTCCCACTCATTTACTCTTCCTTCTCCTGATTCTGCACCACCACCCACTATCTTACCTGAGGGCCTGTGCCAGGAGATGAGTGTGTTGCGGGGGGCCGGGGGTGGTGGTTGGAAACAGGACCCATGTGTATTTGATCAAAGCAAATTCTTGCTTTAAAACTCAATATCTGCATCTCCCGACAGCAGAGAAGCCCACAGGCGTTCTCGTAAGAATTCCGGGTAGATCCGTGGGGTTTATCTCGTGGGTGGTGGAGCATCCCCCAATCCCCACATTTAACAGTTTGAAGGAAGACAGGACCCTTCAGATGGGCACTTGTGCTCCTGGGGTGATTTGCAGATTTGCCAAGGGGCCTGAGACACAGATAATTTTAGGGCAGTCGTTTTCTGGAACATGAGCTCTGTCCGAAAGCTGATTTGTCCGAGGACCCACTGTGGGACAGGCCTGGTGCTGGGTTAGTCTCGCACAAGTGGCTTCTCCCTCGTAACCAGAGCCAGGATCTCACTAGGGGGCTCTGTTCCAGCTGAAACCGTCTCTGGGGCTAATACTGAAATACGGTGCCAGGGAAGCCTCTTTCTTCAAGTCAATATGTCCCATCCCCCATCCATCTTGTAAAGATGCTTTTGCAGTAGTAAGAGCTTGTCCAAATATACCATATATGTTGTTCGTTGACAAATGATCCCTTATAGTACTAATTGTGATAATAATTCAACTGGGAAGGGATTTTCTTTAACCTTGAAGTGTAAGTAACAATTTCCATGTACACACAAAGGTGTAAATTTCAATTTGTACACAAAATCTGTGTTCACAGAAATAGGGTCATTAAGTACTTTTGAATATATAAGCACATCGTATTGAGACAGAATGGAAATACCGTTTTGAAAAAGAGAGAAAAGAAATGATAGACAATTCCGGACCTAATGAATGATGTTCCCATGTAATTTTTAAGTGAATGATGATGGTTTTTATATTACTCTGATGTTTATCTTACACTGGATACATTTGAAAGATTGGTGTAAAATCATTTTACTATAAAGATCATTTATGGATACAATTGAAACAATATCTTTTGAAGCTGTGATGAAGCATTGAACATAATTTATAACTGTTAAAACTGCATGTTTGCATTTTTGCTGAATGTTTGCCCCCCCCCCCATTCATATGTTGAAGCCCTGACCTCCAGTGTGATAGGATTTGGAGATGGGCCTTTGGGAGGTGATTAGGTTAGATGAGGTCATGAAGTGGGGCCCCCATGATGGGATGAGTGCCCTTTAAAGAAGAATAAGAGAGCCTTGGGGGCCAATCAGAAGGCAGCTGTCTGCAAGCCAGGGACAGAGCCCTCCCCCAGACTGTGCTGGGCTCTCCATCCCAGACTTCCAGCCACCAGACTGTAAGAAAATGAATTTCTGTTGTTTAAGTCACCCAGTCTAAGGTGTTTTGTTATGGCGGTCTATGCTGACTGATATGGGGAGGGTTTATTGTTCTTCCACATTCTTTTAGAGGATACCCCAGCACAAACATGGGCAGGCCACTGGGGACGGTCTATATTAAAAGGAGGACAAGAAGGCCGTGGTCCCTACCCTCTTGGATCAGTTCTCCCCGGGCGAGAAAACAAACCTGGAGTCACCACCATGGGCCATGTGAGGGAAGGTAGGGTCTGTATAACTGAGAGCTA